ACAAAATCTATTCAATTTTAGTCAACTTTTAGTCAAAATCTTTTTTCCTGCAAACTAATCCAGTTGGGCTAATACAGGTGTTAATAGTTGGAAACAAGATGACAGGTTGTATCAGATGTTAAAATTTCATTTTGATGTCATATTTTTCTACAACTAAAAACAATTTATACACAAGCTTACATTTTTCCAAAAGTTTTTGACAGGTTTTAAAGATCATTCACAAGCAAACACTCACTGATCATCATTTCGAAAGTTCAAAGTCCCTCTGTTTATGGTCTCAAAAACTTTGAGACTACAAATAACTAATCTGAGTCAAGTAGGATTTGTACCTAGGTTCATTGTAAACTCTGACTTATTGATCTCACTGTAAAGAAGCAGAAAAATAACTTTATTTCAGCCTGAATTCTTTCTTAATCTGCATCATGATAGAGTCCTCTCGCAGAGTCTGTAATTAAAACTAAACTTGTAGCTGTGTCAGAGAAAACTGTGGCGAGTTCAGACTGTTAACTTACACAGTTGCACTCACAGGTAACTGAGCCTCCTACCTGCCTGTCAAACAGGATCAAACCTTAAATCTTCTTGAGACAGTCCGGATCTGAGCAGAGTCCTTTAGGGATTAACAGTCCAGCAGCTGCTTGCTTTGCTGCTATTCAGTGGCTAAAAAGTGGAGCTAACTGCTAACAACCACTGCTGCAACTAACAAACTCCACAAATCCATTCAACACTTCCACCACCCACAGTCAGACACACAGCTCATTATTTAGTGCTGAATTACAGCTCACAACTCACCAATGGCTGACGCTGCTCTGGTGTGAGTATTTTGCAGGCAAGTGAAACATCCTGGTGCTAACTATTTACTGGAGTTTACAGCCAGTCGACATTCTGATCTCACACCGCTCATACAGCATTAATAAAAGTGCACAGCCATTCTCAGCTTCCTAGTTTAAAATATTTTTTTTACTACTGTTCATAAAATAATTAATCATTCAGTTCTCCTATCATCTTCTTTTTAACATTTTCGTCCTGTCTCATTGATGAAAATGCAATGTACATTTCATCATAGTGTTTGTTATCAAGATCCATTTTTAGTTCTTCAACGTTTTGTCTTCGTCATAGTCCTTAAGTTGTTGACGAATTTTTTTTGTTACAGTTTTCGTATTTGAAATTAACACTGTATCGTTGGTCTCCTTCACCTCAGTGGTGCCCCCAAAAAATTTAATGGGAGTGTTCTGATGGGGTTACTGAAAATTGTGGGGTGGCACATCAAAACCAAAAGCCATAACTGAATTTCAGGAATTGATATTGTATGCTGTTTTAGTATGTAGCTGAAAACTGTGTCAATATGGAGAGTTAAGGAATCACACAGTGATATAATTAGGTTTCTTATTTTGACGTTAATGTTTTTTAATTATCTGATGTGCACTGATGAATATCAGTACAGTTAACATTTAGGTCCACAACAATCCTGTTTTAAAGTGTTATATATCTATACGTTAGGCAATTTATAGATCTACAAATAGGCTGGTTGTCCTTTCCCACAAAAAGAGAAATATACAGCTTTAATTTAAAGGATCATATTGATTGTAAGGAACAAAACATTTACCTGGGAACAAACCCATAGAACCCATTTTCACTTAAATATTTCAAGGTGAAAGTTCAAGGGACCCCTTTGAAAATGGCCATGCCAGTTGTTCCCTCGCCAAAATGTAGCCTAAAATTGGAGCTTTATTTAGCCTCCTTCCTGACAAGCTATGCTGGCATGGTTGGTATCAATAGATGGTTGGCTTGTTTTACGAGATGCCACTACTTTCGCACCACAGCCTCTAAAGACAGTAATAAGGACCTCAAAAATATTTTCGCCCTCGGGGCAGTGGGGGGCCAGCAGTTGTCATGGCCCCCCTCGCCCCCCTTTGGGGCACCACTGCTTCACATATATTCTCTGCAGTTAGAGCTGAAACAATTAGTCATTTAATTAATTAGTCAAACAACAGAAAAAATGATCAGCAACTGCTGATTATCAATTAATCGTGTAAGTCATTTTTCAAGCAAAAATGCTAAACATGATCTAGTTTCAGCTTCTAAATTGTAAGACTTTGCTTTGTGATAGTAAACTAAATATCTTTGGAAAACATTTGAAGACATATCTGTCCTCCCGAAGCCAGGTGTCTGTGCCCTGAAAGTGTTTTCTGCGTGACAGGTTATCGCAGATATTAATTGTTAAGCCCTCTGTATTTATGTTCATACCACAGCTGCCACCATGGGGCCGACATGCAACAAATGTTTCAGGATTGACTGGGCACGACCTCGGTTATTTATGAGGCTGCTGAAAGTGTCTTCACTGAGGATCTATTGACAGCCTGTCACAGATTTCATCACAAATTTATTGTGGATCATACTCCTCATAGACACCTCGCCCTATTAAACCTAACACTGCATCTCCACACCACTATGCATCATGTGTGTATAGTGGGTGGAAGTTTGAAACATTTGCAGATACGAGGCAAGCTTGACATGATATATAGCATTCTCAGTTGACTCAGTAATGAGTGATTTCTTAAATGATCTGGAAAGTCCACTCAATAGAGTGCAGAACTACCAGCGAGCTGCTCAGGCTAATTGAATCCATTCTAGACAATTCTTGTAATTTCAGCACACGTGCTGCAGCACGTTTCAGAGGCGTCACAGAAGCTAATAAAAAAAAAATATGCCTCATCTATTTTTGACCGAGTCAAAGCGTGCTGCGCAGAGCAGATTGAGTTATCCTGCTAACAGGCACTGTATGTGAAATATAGATACAGAGTAAATATGAGGATCAATGCATTTTTATGACTAAAACAGAGCCATACATCTTTGATTCGTGTCATTCCTAACTGGACTGGACACAACAAAATACAAAATAACAACAAAACTAAATTAGACCAACAAAAGAAACCATTTAACAACATAGCTACTTGCTTACTCATGGTAGAAGCAAAAATATTAAGGAAAAATGACCAAATCAACAAAAGATGACAAAAACAGGGACTAGTTCAAGCCATAACGAAGGCCAAAATGTGGCCTACAACAAGGCTTGTTGTTTATAGCCGAGCCAATATTCAGAAAACTTGCAGCCTCTATGCGCCGGTTAAGAGGAGTGAGGAGCCAGCAGCCAATGATGATATAAAACAGTCAGTAAAACAGGTTTTTCAAGAATTGTATCATCGTGACCAATAGAGGTCCTTGAGCATACAGTCATACATGTGCATAAAAAATATTAGGCTGAGTGGTCCAGTAGTTTGTGAGATGAGCTGCAGACAGACAGATAAACACGTAACGAATGCAGCTCTGACATTCTGTAGCTCATTGGTTCTTAAACTTTTTCATGTGGAGGACTCTTCATTGATACACATTAGGTCATGGACCCCGATTTTATAAGATTTTGCTTCAGGGACCTCAGTCTGAAAAGATTTTTTTTTTTTGTCAGATATGATTCATACCAGAATTCTATAATTGTCAGTTACAGTTGAGGAAATAACCGTGGAGGAAATGAAACTGATGATCTGAATAGTCACTCTTGTGACTCTTAATCACACTGGGCTCACTTCTATAATGAATCAAACAGTGAAAATAACCTAGTATCCCTTTTCTTTGGGGACCACCTGGAACTCCCTCCCCCTGGTTGAGAACCTCTGCTGTAGCTTATGGCAGTACTGACTCAGCAGCAATGATACCAAGCTCAGAACTGCCACATGCCACATGTCTAGTGCTCTTCACAAAAACAAGGCCCCACAACTAATGGCCATGAGATCTGCTATCAATTTACACTTCCATCAGGCCATTGTTTCCCTTTGACCAACACGTTGGTTCATGATATAATAACTTGATATTTTGCTGTGGGTACCCATCTTCATCATCTGGGAATGATAAGTTTTTGGTTAGGGCTGGGAAATAACTCAGTACTTTCAGAAATCAATGTTAATGTGATCGTATCATTATAATATGATCATATCATGCAGTGGCCCTCAGGACTGAATTGGTATTATGTTTGCTACATGCACTGACATATGAAGTAAAGGCAAACATAACAAACATATAGGTGCTATAGTAATATAACAAAATCGGCACAATTTTAATGCAATGATCAGTGCAAAGTGGTCTTGGGCACATGGAATTTGTGAGTGTCTCCAAGCCTACCTGCTATTTTAATTCAAGTGTGAAAAGTTTTGTGAAGTGCAAAGGAGCTAGATGTGTTGGTATATAGATCAGAGGATGTGCTGAACAAGAGTATGTGTCAGAGTATTAATTCAATAATGTTTGTCAGTGCTCACCCAGGGAGAGAGAGAGAGAGTAGGATTCTCCACTAACAGTGACACAGTGTGTCAGCTGAGTGTTGACTGAATGTTGTTTATGAAATGTCTGTATCCTCACTGCGCTGTTTTGATAAACTTCATGATCATGGGTCACTTCTTTCACCTGTGTCAAGGGCAGTGGACCAAATCATTGTAAAGCAGTTGTGGGGGAATAATTTTGATATTCTATACTTGTATTACTATCATAAATCCCATAAAAAGACCAAAAGCAATGATGTGTTGTATCGCTAGTACCATGTTCAACAAGTTCTCATAGCAAATTTGCATATATCCTATTCCTAAATTGTTTGTTTTTATTTTTGTTTGTGAGCTAAGTTATTTATTTGTGTTTATTTATCATTAGCACGCTCTAGTAAAATACAATTAATGTAAAAGGTAATAATAATACTAATGCTACTACTAATGATAATAATGAAAATGATACTACTTTTACTACTACTACCAATAATAATAATAACAATAGTATATTTTTAACAACAGGTTGTATAAGAATGCCAGAATACTCTCATTTTGTATGTTTTAAGCCATATTCATGTGCAATGGAATTATTTATTATGTTGTATTTGACTAGAAATTAAACTATAACTATAATTAAACTTGTTTCCTTGGGTTAGATCTTCATCCTCTCTCTCTTTTCTTTTTGTCTTCCAGGTCACACAGGTCGCTTTATCAGAGCGGTGTTCTGCACCAGTCTACTATTTGTACTGGCACACATCTGCTTCCAGACAGTACTATACACATATCCACCTCTCAACATCGCCATAGGTGATAACTGTTCGCAATGGGACACCATAACCAGACATATAGGACTGTCCAGGTATGTAACATCAGTTATCCATGCTTCTGTCATTGGTCTGCTATGGTGAAACTTTGATGGCCACATATTTCAAGTAATATAAGACAAGAGCAGATTAATTTTGTTTGCCTCCACAGATGGAAGAATTTCAGAATTTCATATTTTCAGTTGCATCTACATACTGGTGTATAAATGCAGGTGAAGATGGGACAATGTTTGACCTTCCTTGACCTTTCTTTATATGCATGTGTGTGTCTTGTAGGCTTCCCTTGGATGATCCATGGAATTTGTTACGCCTTCTGTGTCCTGACCTGGGTGTGTGTGTGGTTTCCTTGATAACAGTCATCCTCTGCAACAGACTGGTCAGGAACAGAGAAATGGTGGCTGCTGCCAACATTACATCGGTGAGTCATGTGTGTGTGTTTGTGAGAGTGAGAATTATAGCTGAAGGATCACTGTGTTGTTGGGATAAAATCAAAGTTGACACAGTGTTTGATAAATGATGTAGAGGTGCAGTTTACAGTAACTGGATAATCAGGTTTACAATCAGTGAGCCTCATGCACATCAGTTAGGTTTTATGAGGCAGATTTGCACTAACACAATCTGAGGCCTGTACTATGAAGCAGGATTTGGAGTTAGCAAGAAAACTTCAGGGTTAATGCTGGGTTTTCTGTACTACAAAGCTGGTTCTCTTTTTGTCAGGATAAATCACCATGGTAACTTATGCTGAACAGCTAATGTGCTCCAGAGCATGTTAACGTCAGAGTATTGGATCACAGCCTGTCAACACCACGACCTTTGACCAATCAGATCACTGACGTGAAAAGTAGCCATGGACAAAGGTTCGGAGTCCTAGGTAAAGAAGAGTAGCCTATATATTGTTATAAGTCAGTAGAATCATTTAATAGTTTCAGAGCTCTATTTCCACTGGTTTTAAAACAGAGCTTCTAACAAACAGAGAGATCGTTTACACACTTAACACATGATTTTAGCAGGATTTTAATTTACGCAAAGTTTATTTTAATCTGCAGTGATAGTGTGGCTATATCAAACTCTGATTCCATCACTGCAGCTCAGAATAACATGAGACACGTGTGACGAGAACTAGGTAAAAAATATAATATTCTATTGGAAAAATAATCCACACACTGTTAATTGGCTCCCGTTATTATAACTGCAACATTTGGGCCAGATAGACCTCATCAGTCACTAACTAGGCTACTTTTCCACTTTTAACTTAAGTAGCAGAAACAGTCTGGCATCACTTTTAAGTGCTGTATGTGACATATTCAGAGTAGCCGTATCATAATTTAACTAAATAGCAAAAAATACTCTATACTAATGTCACATATAGTCTGGTGATAACTACATGTAATTTAAGTCTTGGCTGACGGTGAATTTTTGGATTGTATTGCCAATGTTTCTACATTTCTGTTATAAGATTACAGAGTATCGTTTACAACCCACACCACTGACATTTTACTGTCTCACAGTCCCAGACACTTTTGGTAGCATTTCATCTCATATATATGAAGTTGCCTACTTCATTCATGATTCTTCTGATGATGTCAATCATAATTAGCACCCTGCGTCTTTTACATCACATGGAGGCGCTTGTGGCTGGATAGGAAAACCCAGAGTTGACTGAACTAGTTGATAAACAGCTTTGCGATACCGATTATCCAGAGGGACAATGTGATGGGTTAGTCATGCCAAATAACGAAAAGATATCCTGGGTAAGCTGAAATGGTTTTGTAGTATAGGCCTCTGGTTTAGGACTCAGTGACTAATTAAACAAACCTTCAAATGCTAGTCAGGCCTAAATTATGTTAACACTGTGTTTATTGCGTTGCCCTACAACAAGGTCATGTTGAATAGTAGCATAGAGAACTGGCAATTAGCTCTTTTATTCACTCTGTAACAGACTAACTGCTATTAGGCTTATGTCTGTGATTTATGGAATGTTTTCTTTGTGTTGCTCAGCAGTAGAAATATATCTGTTTTGACATTTTTTTATGCCTCTGAGCTGGCGATAGCCATGGCCAGCGGTATGATGTTTCAGGTTGTCAGTTCATCGGTCCGTTAGTCCGTCCCATTCTCACATATGTGTTATGTCAAGAATGCCTTCAGGGAATTTCCTCAAATTTGGCACAGATGTTCACTTGAACTCAAGAGTGAACTGTTAAGATTTTTGGTGGTCAAAGGTCAAGGTCAGTGTGACCTTGCATCTGTCTCAGTCTTGTGAACACGATATCTCAAGAACACCTTAAGGTAATTTGACACAAGCGTCCACTTGGACTGAAGAATAAACTGATTAGAATTTTGTGGTCGAAGGTCAAAGGTCAAGATCAGTGTGACCTCACAAAATACGTTTTTGGCCATAACTCAAGAATTAATATGCAGATTATGCCAAAACTTCACACAAATGTCTCATAGGATAAAATAATGAAGTGCCAACATTTTATATATAAAAGGTCGAAGGTCAGTTTCACTGTGACATCATTTGCCATTTCTGTCTCATTCTTGTGATGCAATATATCATGAACATCTCTAGAAAATTTCTATAACTTTGGCACAAACATCCACTTGGACTCAACAATGAACTAATGAGATTTTGGTGGTTGAAGTTCAAAGGTCCCTGTTACCTGACAGAACTTGTTTTTGGCTGTAACCCAAGAATTCATACATTGATTATGAAATTTCATGCAAATGTCTAATAGGATAAAAATGATGTAGTGATGACATTTTATATCCCAAAAGTCAAAGGTCAACTTCACTGTAACATGATAATGTGCTGTAAAATCACTTTCTGGCCATTATTCAGTGTCATATCTCAGGAACAGAAGGGGAGACATTTGGTCAGATACTGAATTGGTGACACTCATCTTGGCTGCTGACCTTGAAACTGTGCTGATGGTATAGATCTTCTGTGCTGCTGGGGGGAAGATGTGTATGAAGCATCCACATTTTAGACTATGTTTTTTCTTTGCAGCAACATTTGAAGCATTGTCAACTGTCATGGTTACATATCAGTCTGGACAGACGTGGATGTAAATTGAACTGCGACTTGAATGGTTTATGGAGGCAGACCTACCTTTTGTTTTATCTGAAGTTGCTGCAGTGTTTTTTGGTGCCATTTGGATTATTCACGGTTTTAACTTTTTAGCCAAGCAGCCTCTCAGGCCCTGTTAACAGCCACTATGTTGGTCCTTGTGGAAACAATGTGTTTGTATCCCTCATAAAGGTCCACTACTGTTGTTCTGTCTGTATAAACATGGCTGTCCTCTCTTTTCGCTGCTCTGTGTTAAACTCTGTGTGTGTCCACAGAATGTTGATGCAGATCTGGGTTGAATTAGCCTCACTGACTTTACAATGATTGCCCCTGTATAAAACTGTATGAGCTCAGTTCAAAAGGTCACACTAGTTAAAGTGCCTATTAAGTTGTTTGACTTGCCTGTTTATAAAAAAAAAAAAAAAATCAGACCTGCAATATAGCACCCGTTACTCAATTAAGATTTTTAGTACCACAGTGGAAACAAATTTTATTACAAGTTTTACATGGGCAAGTGAGCAATTATAGAAAAAGTAGTATTCATTGTAAAAGAACAGTAGAGTTTAGCTTGCCACCTAAGAGCCCTGACACATAAAGCAGGATTTATACTTCTGCGTTGAATTGCCGTAAGGTACGGCATAGGCCGACATGCACTTACCCAGAAATTTAACTACATGTCATGGTGACGCAGACCTATCTATTTTTGTAAGCTGAAAACTATTTCTCTCTGTGGAAATGAAGCTTTTATTTACTTTTTCATTTCAAAGATAAGAAACAATACATTGTGAGGACAATAAAGCCCCCACAAAATAGCATTTTAAGTCTTGTGTGTGATTTATCCTGGCTTCATATTTTTATTTTATTTTTTAATGTTATATACTTTATTAATCCCCCTGAGGGGAAATTCAATGTTTTCACTCTTGCTTGTCAATTACACACAGGTCCGAAAGACACACACATACACAAATAGGACCTATACATGCACAAATTGGAGAGATGTCAGAGTGAGGGGGCTGCCCCTTGGTCAGGCGCCCCGAGTGGTTGGGGGGTTTGGTGCCTTGGTCAAGGGCACCTCGGCAGTGCCCAGGTGGTGAACTGGCACCTCTCCAGCTACCAGTCCACGCTCCATATTTGGTCCAGACGGGGACTCGAATAGGCGACCCTCCGGTTCCCAACCCGAGTCCCTATGGACTGCGCTACTACTATGATGGCCTCATGTGATTTATCCTGGCCTCATGTGAGTAGAGGAAATCTCTGCTAGTCGCTAGGCAAATTTATACAATGTAAAATGCCATTAGCATGTTGTATTTGTGGGGGAAATGTGTCCAGCAAAAGACAAGCACTTTCTCTGTGAATCCTGTGAGTTCTAATTAAGCTGATTTGTGTACTTGTGATTGAAAGTGTCCCTATTAAGCCACGTTTAATGTGAGTTTTATTTCAACTACACTTTATAACACTTCACAGAAACCCCACTGCCGACTAGTGTTTTGGAGGTGTAACTGCAGAGCGACACAGACACACCACAAGTATAAATGCTCACAGCAGCGTAGGCCACATGTGTAGGCTATGGCGTAGGCTCTGCATAGTGCTGATGCACAAGTATAAATCCGCCTTACGCCGATGGTCAGCCGTTGGTCAATTTTGGGCCGTTAGTGAGCTTCTGTCACGCTAGTTTTTGTGGTGTGTCCCACACCGTTGGCACTAGTTGGCCCTTGTTGGGCCTTGTCAAACCTTGTCGGCTCTTGTCAGCTTTTTTTTCAACCAATTCAGCCTGTCAGTGAAAGAAATCACAATGATTGGCAGTTCTGTTATTGTTCTCTAGCGCACAGTGAATATGCTTTCTTTTTGGACGGCTGTGGCTCAGAGGTAGAGCGGGTCATCCACTAATCTGAAGATCAACAGTTTGATCTGCGGCTCTTCCAGACTGCATCTTGAAGTATCCTTGAGCAAGATACTGAACCCCATATTGCTCCTGATGGCTGTACCTTCGGTATGTGAGTGGCTCCTTGTATGGTAGCCTAGGCCACCAGTGTGTGAATGTGTGTGTGAATGGGTGAATGTGACTTGTAGTGTAAAAAGATCTTTGAGTGATCAGATGGCAAGAAAAACACTACAAGTGCAGGTCCATTTACCATTTCAGCATCAGGTTGTGCTGTTAATGTGCCAGCTGGGTAACTAGTGTCTTGAATCTGTCCTGAGGGTTCCCCCTTTTTAAATGATGACTACAAACTAGTGCCATCTGCTTCTGTAGAGACTTATTCCCTCTCATGCAGCTGCAGAATGATGTGCTGGTTGTCTGTCGGCTGTAGTCTTTGCGGTGTGTCAAGCGCAAGTTTTTTGGCGGAGACACA